AAGGCAAGCAAAGGGCGCATCTGGCCCCCCTGGTCCATGGTTTGGAGACCACTGTTTTATAAGCTCCCAGACCTTAACCCCCTTGACTTTTTTGGGGTATGCTAAATGAGGTGTACTCAATGAAAATCACAGATATGAATCACCTGAAGGAACGCATATGAAAGAATGTGCTCAAAATGACAGAAATGTGGAGTTACTGCATCAGGTTCATGTGAATCTTGCAAAGCACGTGGAAGTTTGCATCATAAATGGTGGAAATCACATTGAAGATGTTATTAATATTACAAATAAAATAAAATGTTGTTGGAAAATGTATTGAAATTTATTGAAAATATGCATTTTGCCTATATGTCCAGACTTTAGGGACACCCTGTAATATTATATGTGAACTATTTTATTTGCCAAAAGGAGTTGTAATTTTCAGCTTTTTTTTCTGGTTCATATATCTCTAGCACACAGCACAGCCAAGTGAGAGAAACCACTATCTTCGTGGATACACGGTGGCGTCATCTCTCAACCCCAAACCTGCTGATTGGACAATGAAGGAGAAGTAGTACACCGATAAGCTCCTCCATCCTCTTGCTCTGCCTCTCCTCCTGTCAGCATTTGTGCACTACAGCAGAGTCTGATTGACTTATAGCTCTGTCTCTCCCTTTGAAACCTGAGCAAAACGATTTTAAGGCATTTTTATTTGAACATTTTTGCATGCATATACAAGCATTTCAGAAGCACCTTTCGTGCATCTTCAAAACAAGTGTATTTAGGTTTCAAATGTTTTTGTTTTAGCCAATGGAACGTACTAAAAATGCCTGGAAAAAAAAATCTTGACAAAGTGCTTGATATAAGTATTTACTGGCATTCCAATTGAAAGTAAGGGACCCCAAATGCCCAAATCTGCCTCAAAAACAGCTCATGTAGCTTTTGGAGTGTCAGACATTGAGCTACAGGCACCTGAGAGCTCATATGTGAATGACAATCCCTCAATTACATTTTTGTTTGTTGAGAATTTTGGAGCTTTGAGCTCAAAAGTATGGATGAGGGCTGAGGAAGGACAGGATATTCATAGAGAAACAGATTTCTATACTTATGTTAGTTACATGCTAAATACTTTTATTTTAAAAGGAATACACAGCTGCATTAAATTGTGTTTTTAAAATCTACCAGGTTTATGTTCTGCTTTAACTGTGTAAATTCATAGTTTTGATGCTTGCATTTCTTCTCAGTGTTATAGATTGTCAGGAAATGAGATACACTATATTGCCAAAAGTATTGGGACACCTGCACATCAACTTTAATGGCATCCCGGTCTTAGTCCATGGGCTTCAATATTGAGTTGGCCCACCCTTTGCAGCAATAACAGCTTCCACTCATGGGAAGGCTGTCCACAAGGTTTAGAAGTGTGTCTTTGGGAATGTTTGACCATTGTTCCAGAAGTACATTTGTGAGGTCAGGCACTGATATCGGATGAGAAGGCCTGGCTCGCAGTCTCCGCTCTAATTCATCCCAAAGGTGGTGTTCTGTCTGGGTGAGGTCAGAACTCTGTGCAGGCCAGTCAAGTTCCTCCACCCCAAAATCGCTCATCCATGTCTTTATGGACCTTGCTTTGTGCACTGGTGCGCAGTCATGTTGGAACAGGAAGGGGCCATCCCCAAACTGTTCCCACAAAGTTGGGAGCATGAAATTGTCCAAAATGTCTTGGTATGCTGACGCCTTAAGAGTTCCCTTCACTGGAACTAAGGGGCCAAGCCCAACCCCTGAAAAACAACCCCATACCATTATTCCTCCTCCACCAATCATTACACTTGGCACAATGCAGTCAGACAAGTACCGTTCTCCTGGCAACTGCCAAACCCAGACATGTCCATCGGATTGCCAGACAGAAGCGTGATTCGTCACTCCAGAGAACACATTTCCACTGCTCTAGAGTCCAGTGATGGCATGCTGTACAGCACTGCATCCGAAGCTTTGTATTGTACAAAGCTATGTAAGGCTTGGATGCAGCTGCTCGGCCATGGAAACCCATTCCATGAAGCTCTCTACACACTGTTGTGCTAATCTGAAGGCCACATGAGTTTGGAGGTCTTTAGCTATTGACCCTGCAGACAGTTGGCGACTTCTGCGCACTGTGCACTTCAGCATGCGCTGACCCTGCTCTGTCACTTTACCTGGTCTACCACTTTGTGGCTGAGTTGCTGTTGTTCCCAGTCGCTTCCACTTTATTATAATACCACTAACAGTTGACCATGGAATATTTAGTAGCAAGGATTTTTTCACGTATGGACTTAATGCACAGGTGGTAACCTATCATGGTACCATGCATGAATTCACTGAGCTCCTGAGAGCGACCCATTCTTTCACAAATGTTTATAGAAGCAGTCTCCATGCCTAAGTGCTTGCTTTTATACATCTGTGGCCATGAAGGTGATTAGAACACCTAAATCCAATGATTTGGAGGGGTGTCCCAAGGCTTTTGGCAATATAGTGTATATTACCTACATTTTTGGAATCGTGCAAATCCAAAATTTTCTATTAAAATGTAGAAATCCTATAACTTCTAATGCTTAAAGGCTATCCTTTACTGACTGCTCATTGCACATTAGAGACATAATTTTTTTAAACAGGTACTCTCCCTCTCTCACAATAATAAAACCTATGATAACGACAAAAAGTAGGTATTACGCTTTATCCATGCAGTTCGGCTTACTTAAAATACAAAACTATTGTGTATAAAAATTTGTTAAAAAAGTAAAAAATCCCACCAATGTTAACACCAAAACCTTCCACCTTGAGAATGACAACATTGTCAACCCAACCGCAAAAGTCTGGACTGCAGTAATTATTCAGCGAATCTTATATGTGATTGTTGTTTGGTTGACAATGCAGTCATTCTCAAGGTGGAAGGCTTTAGTGTTAAAATTCTAAATGTTAACATTTAGAATTTTTAACTTTATTAATTTTTGTACACAAAGTTTTGTATATTTTACGTAAACCACGCTGTGTGGATAAAACGTAATACCTACTGCTCCAGTTTGTCTTTATCAAAGGTTCTATTATTGCTAGCATCTTTTAGGTATTTATATCCACTTCATACTATAGGCAAGTCTTTGGCCTGGAAATTTGATTTCCCTTTTTCTTTTGAGCCTTGATTGGCTTATTTGTGAAGGCTGGTACACAGGGGCCGAATATTGGCTGGTTCAACAGAAACTGGCTAACATTCGACCAGTGTGTACAGCAGCCTGTTTGGCTTCAGTTGAATGAGCATGCTGGAAAACCGGCAGCCAATCGGTTTCCGATCAGTGCAGGCAGCCAATGGCTTTGAAAGCTGACTGGTGCATTCTGGCGGGGGGGGGGGGGGGGGAACACAATGGCTCAGCAGGAATATTGCTGTACTAATATCGCATAATTGGTACAGCGAGCACCTCAGTTTTTTTTTTTTTTTCATTCAGCCCACTGGGTTGAATAAAAATAAACTACCTGTGTGTACCAGGCTTAAGAATCACCCTGTCTCCCTGAGCTAATTAAAACTTGAGATTAAACTTGATCATGAATGATAATGCAACAGCTCAAAATTCCATTCACATTAGGAATGGTGGTTGTACTCTTCAGACAAGTCAGGTTCAAAGATGCTTCACTGTCAAAGGATGAATATACTCTTATTTGAAAACTGGATATATTTGTGCTTGATGGTGTAGTGCTAGATTTTGTTCTAATTGTAATTACTATAGTTATTCATCCTTTTTATTTTTGGAAATATGCTGTGAGTTTTAGTTCCTGTTTACCTCTGTGCGCTCTGGGAATGTATGCAAAATTGTGCACATTCGTGCATCACACAAACACACATTTTTATATCACTATGGTGCAATGCATTAAAAAAAAAAAAAAAAGAAAAAAAAAAAAGTATACGCACTTCTCCACAGTAATTTCTGTCTTCTGGAGCTGCCCAATGGAATTACATGTAAGACGTTTATAAAAACACACATCTGTGACCGTGCATTGCATTAAATGTGATCCTGGACTAAGTTTGTGAATGTAATCTTAGGTGAATAGTTTTCAGATTTTTATACTGTTCTAAATATTTTTAAGATAACATAACACATTGGTACTACCCAATATACGTTCAATGATAATTTGAAACTAGGCATATATATAATGAATTCCTTTAGAATCTTGACAAAGTGAAAGAAAAAAACAATATAGTGATTTGAAGGAACACTTTGTAGTGATGAAACCAATACAGGGCTTTTGTAAAACTGCAGAAATGTGTCTCTTAGCCAAATTAATCAGGTTACAACGATCAATATTGCAAACTCTGGTCAGCATCTGCATACCAGCTTTACTTCAGTTGTTTTGGATTTGGGATAACAACACAGTATACAGTTTACACAACAAAGTATATACAACAAACTACACACTAGTGGGCAGAGTCCATTCAATTTGCATCTAGGCTCTAGTACTACATAATTGTTAGTAGAGCTAAAGATCTAGAGATCCTGTCAACAGTAAAGGAAACCAAACATGTCTGGGACAAATTATATTTTGGAGAAAAAGGCCTTTTTCCTACAAGCAGCAGCTCCAGGCTCTGTGCATGCTCGAGATCTGGCACAGACTATCAGTGAGCAGCACAGAGAACCATGAAAAAGAAGCTAGCCACCAATGGCAGCAAGGGATTTGGAGAGCATGCAGGAGTAAAAATGAAGCAAGATGTTGCAATTTGATTGACAATTGCGTGGTCATGCAACACTGTACCCAAATGAAATTTTTATCATTTTGTTGTGACAGATAGAGCTTTATTTTGGTGGTATTTAATCACCTCTGAGTTTTTAATTTTTTTCTTAAACCAAAAACTGAAAATTTTGAAAAAAAAAATTTTTTTTCTTAGTTTTTGTTATAAAATTTTCTAAATAAGTCATTTTTCTCCTTCACTGATGTGCGCTAATGAGGCTGCAGTGATGGGCACTGATAGGCTGCACTGATGGACACTGATAGGTGGCACTGATAGACCCTGATGAGGAGGCACTGGTAGGTGGCACTGATGGGCATTGACAGGCATCACTGATGGGCACTGAAAGGCAGCATTCATATATATGGCACTGACTGGCACTGATGGGTGACATTGAAAGGCATCTCAGATGGGCACTGAAATGTGGCACTGGCAAGTGGCATGGATGAGCACAGAGCTGGCACTGGTGGACACTGACAGGTGGCGCTGCTGGGGCTACACAGATCATCAGAGCACACTGATCATCAGTGATCTGATGATCTGTGTAGATGTCCCCTCCGAGGAATGCCAATTACCGGTTCTCCTCTCCTCTTGAGCTGTCAGCGTGACAGCTCGTGAAGAGAGAAATGCCGATAACCAGCATTTCCGTGTTTACATGTGATCAGCAGTGATTGAACATAACTGATCACATGACCGAGCCGACATCTTCGGCTCTTTCCATAGATCGGTAATCCGCTGTGTCCGAGGGACACAGCGCACCGCCAATCGCCGCGCTGTGCACTCCCGGAGCCGCGCATGCACGGTGAGAATGGGAGGACGTCATATGACGTCCTCCCAGGACGAGAGAACCAATTTGCGTCCGTCATATTACTATATGGCGGGCGGGAGGCAGTTAAAGGATAAGTTCACCTTTTGGACAAAAATAATAAATGCACTTTTTTTGCAGGTTAAATATGTGAATTTATTATTTTTGTCCAAAGGAGCCTGTAAAGCATTGCACCATCGATCAGTAGATTGCTGATGCCATGCAGGTCTCCTGCAGACCTGTACGGGCAAGCAGATATACTGACAGGAAGCTTCAATGAACTACCAAGGTGCTCCACAGCGCCATGGTAGTTCATTGAAAACTACAAGTTCACAGCCGCTAAGGCTGTCGAGACTTGTAGGCACTCATTCACAGAACACTGTGAATGAGTGAGGCGGCCGTGTGGGCGAAACCCCGCACAGCCGTGCTGTCTTCAAATCTGACAGATAGTATCGAGAAACAGCGGGCACGGCTGTGGCTATGGGAACATGTTACATGTTCCACCCTAGAAACGGGTGGAACATGTTCCAAAGGTGAACTTATCTTTTAAGTATGAAACAAAGACCAGGTGGCAGCCCTACAAAGCTGAGCAACAGGTGTCTGAATTTGGAGTGAGCACGTAAGGGTACTGAAGGTAACATCTTTTAGAGCATAAGCTGTTAAAATGACTTGTCATCAAGCGACACTATTTTGTGATTCATATTATGTTATGGACATCTTGTTCTTTTATTAGTATACTACACTTGTGGTGGATGGAATGTGCCCACTCAATAGTTTCTTCTAATATAAATATTGGTGAGCCTTTTTTACCATTAATGCTTAGGTTGCCATGTACTTGATTTAGTGCCTTTTGCACTTTATAGAGCAGGGGGCCTTGAGACAACAGGTCTGGCTTGTTTGGTAGAGGCAGGGGGTCATTTCCTAAAAGGTTGAGTATGTGTGTACCAGGTTCTTCTGGGCCAGTTTGGTGCAAACAGAATTTCAGATTTCTTCTCTTCCATTACTCTGTGAAGCAATTGAGGAAGGATCTACACTGGTGGAAATACATATTAGCCAGAATGTCCTGGTAATTACTAGGACATCTGATGCCAGTGCTGGAGGATCCTTGGTCCTGGCCACAAGCAAAGGTGACTTTTTGAATCTGAAGTCCAGGATGTCCACAGCTGAAGTTCCCCAATTTTGACAAAGGATATTGAAGATGGCAGGCTGAATGAACCAATTTTCTTGGTCCAGGAAATCTGCCGAGATGTGAACAGCAGATTTTTCTGAATAGCGTTTTTCCACCCAGGATATGATCTGACTAACTTCCTTCAAGGCTGCCTGACTGCAGGTACCTTGTACTTGTCTGAATGTACCCTGATTGGGTGTCCCTGAAGAAAAGGCGGTCTATTTGTGCAGAGTCAATTTTATTGTTCGGTGTTCCAAGATGTTGATGGGGAGCTTTGTTTCCCTGGGTGGCCAGGTTCCCTGAACTGTGACACTAATCCCCAGCCTGTGAAGTTGGCATCAGTTATTATCACTTTCCATGTGTGCGAGACAAACCTTACCACTTCTAAAGCTGGACTTACAATCCACCAAACTAGGGATCTTGTATTTTGATTGGAGAGGAGCATAGAGAAGTCAGGAGATAGAATGTGTCTGTTCCATGCCAACAGATTGTTGTGCTGGAGAGGCCTTGAATAGAACTGAACAAAGAGAATATCCTCGAATGAGGCAATCATAAGGCCCAGGACTCCAATGGAGAATCTCACTGAGGCATGACTTTTGGATCTTAAGGTCCAAGCATGGGAACTTAGTGAGAGAAGTTTACTTGCTGGAAGGAAAACTTTTGCCTGAGCCATGTCCAGAAAGAGGCCTTTCCTTCATTACAAATGAAGGAAAGGCTGAACGGCAGACTTTTGCAAAAAGATTACTCAACTTAAAATCTAAAGAATCTGAATAGTCCCTAGCACATTTCCAGACAGCTTTGAGGGAGATTAATCCTTTAGAAGTTGGTCATCAACCTACTCTGTAACTTGGATGCCCTAAGTTCTTAGAAGGGCAAGAAGAAGTGCAAGAACCTTTATGAATGCTCAGGGCTGAGTATAGGTCAAGCGGCAGTGTACCAAATTGAACCTCTGTGTGCGGTGCTACTAAACATGGAAAGTACTGATGAGGTGGGTAATATGGAGGCAGGTATCCTGAATGTGTACTGATACATGTGTTCTCCTTGTCTAAAAGTGGTAATAACTAACCTTGCAGACTCCATGTGAAACTCCTTGTTATTAATTTCCAGAGATATGGAAGGAGAGACCTACCTATTGCTAGTTCTGGGCTTGAAATCCCCAAAGGATTTAGGATTTGCCTTTGGAGATAAAGCCTGAAGGGAGTGATAGGGGCTCTGTGCTTTGAGAAAGTGGAAGCCCCTGAAGAGGGGGTTTATAGCCTTCCATTGTGGAAAGAGGACCTTTCCTCCTGGGACATCCTTTATGAATTTGATAAGTACCTCACCAAGAAGCACAAAATGACATATGAATGAGGCATCATTTACATGCAGCTTCAGCTGACCAAGCTTTTAGCCATAAGATTCTGTGCATATGGACATAAATGAGGCCTACTTCTCCATAGGCTATCCCCTTTTCAGTCTATCATGACTGCTGCTGCTAGAATCATTTACGTTACAAATCGCTCAGTGTCTGCCACTCCTCCCCGCTAATCCCTCCACTGGCTTCCGATTGGCCAGCAAATTAAACAACATCATACAAAGCTATTCACAACTCTACATCAGCTACATCACCAATATTATCAAAATTCAAAGAAGTGCAGCGCTTAAGATAAGTTCCATCAATAAATATATAAAGTACAATGAATAGCAATAGACCTTATAAGGCAGGTATCTCAGTACTTCAAATGCTGCTATAAACAGCCGGCCAAAATAGCAGAAATGGTCTTCAATCAGAATTCGGTCTTTCAGAAGCCTGGCTGACATGCTGTGATTCCTGCCGCTGCTCGTCAGAACACCCGGGTCCAGATGTCCACATCCAGATTACTTCATTACTCATATGCGTGTAATATAGCTCTATCTGCCTCCCCTCTGATGATGTGCTTTTAGCACGAAAGGCCTTAGGAAGGAGGAGCTGTACAGTGTGTGACGTTTTATGCCGCTGGAGCCACGAGGAGGCTCGGCGGCCATCTTTAAAGGGGTCAGTATTGCAATTTTTTGTAACTGATATATGATGCATACTGCCCTATGTTTGTTTTATGCTTCAATAAATTTTTCCTGAAATACTACACTATTGGGCACCTGTTCTTTGAGCTCCTATGCGAGCTATTACATCTGCAGGAAATCCCTGTGATATCCAGTATCCAGAGAAGGGAGCCCTTTTCAAAGCAGAATACCTGTTCATCCTAAGGGGGACCTCTGGACCAGGCAGATTCTCACTACTCTCCAAGGCTTGATGATCAGAGAGGCAGCCCACCACCTATCATTTATTACTACAGCCGCTGTTAATATGCGCTTCCGGTGAGTGCGCATTTCTGCTATTTTGGTCGGCTGTTTATACCAGCATTTGAAGTACTGAGATACCTGCCTTATAAGGGTCTATTGCCATGCGTTGTACTTTATATATTTATTGATGGAACTTATCTTAAGCGCTGCACTTCTTTGAATTTTGATGTTATTATGGAGGTATTATGGTCACCTTTAGTGCAATAGCTGCTACACATTCTGAGCGCTCACTATATAGCTTTTTTATTTACATCACCAATATTGTCTCCAAATATCACCCAAACCATCCTCTCCAGTTCTCTCATGATCTCCTCCTCCCATGCTCGTCTCCAGGACTTTGCCAGAGCCTCTCCCATCCTCTCTGACTATGCCCTACTCTGGTTGCCTTTAGGCAATCCCTGAAAACTCATCTCTTCAGGGAAGCCGATCAAGCTTCCAATTAAACATTGATCATTCCCATCAGCTCATCCCCCAGTTATAACCCTTTGCACCACTTGCCCAACCCTATTAGATCGTAAGCTCTTATGAGCAGGGCCCTCTTAATACTCTTGTTTTTTTATTGTAACTATACTGTCTCCCTTTATATTGTAAAGCGCTGCGCAAACTGTTGGTGCTATATAAATCCTGTATAATAATAATGAAAGCCATTCTGAAAATTTGTGTCATAACTTGTTCTAGGGCATCAACACAGAAAAGTATGGTGAAAGACAGTGTTTGTAAGTGTTCCACCAAAGTTCGGTCCTGAAAGACAGGATCTTGTTTTTTGTTCATTGTCCTAATCCAATTAGCAGTGGCTTGACAAACAAAAATAGCTGGGTTTAGAACTGCAGAAGTAATGAGCGCCTTTAAAAGCATCTAACATTTTCTGTATGCTGAATTCTTAAATGAAGAAACATCTTCTATAGGAACAGTGAGATGTTTAATACCGAGACAGCAGGGTCTGCTACTGACACTGTACACTTTTTAATGAATTTTTATTATGTTCATGAATGGAAAATGTATTTTTACACCTTGCAGGTCTCTTAGTACACAGAGGGAAAAGGTGAGGAGGGGAATCAAGTATGACTATATTGACGTTTTTGCCCACAGTGAGCATATCAGGTATATGTGAAAGCATCAGGTATATGGACACTAACACCACCTTCTGGATTGTCTTCATAGTTCTCCATATCTTCCTCATCTAAAGGAGGTAGTTCCACTTCTGACTCAGAGATGGAGAAGAAGTATTCCACTTTAGGTCTCATACTTGCCAAAAGGCTACACTAACAAGATGAACCCATTTTACCTTTCCACATTGCTAGTCTCTTTATGGCTCCGGGCTTTGTTTGTCATGGTATAAATTCCCTTAGAGGAGTCTTTTGGAGTCAGGGAACTATAGGCATGAACCATAGCCTTGGACCTGTAAAACACAGTGCAGCTAGCTACACACATTGAACTCAGTGAAGAGGCAAGCCACC